AAATAAAATTTATGAATGATGCATTGCTAATTGGCATATCATTTATTACAGTACAGTAACTATAAAGTATATTTTTCTACCTTATTATGTGTAGAAAATTGAAATAATTGATTGTAGTATATAAAACAATCATAAAATTGCCATTAGGAAAAAATTATAGATTACAAATGACTGATTATTGTCCAGCAGTGTATTTGATTTCTTATAGCAAATTCAAAGTAATAGATAAGAAAATAATTCCTTGTAAAAAAAATAAAAATAATTATTATAATACATACATACATAAAATTATTGTATTTGACATTGCTGTCACTTCTGAAATGATCACTGTAAAAAATAATACACTATATCTACTCAATAAAATTGTGGCAACAGATTACAAGCAATAATATTAATTGAATTCAACAACTATTAAGAATCGAGTTAGAATTAATCAAACGTGTCCTTAAAAATTAGCCATTCAAAATAAGTAGATGCAAATAGCACACACAAAAAATTTAAGTAAAATTGAAACAAAAATATTGGTTTAATCAGAGTACTATGCTAATGAATACTACTTAAATGAATTGTTTTGATTTAACAAAAAATAATTTAGTATTATTATTTTTAATGAGGTTAATAAAATAATTTTAATGATTCCAGGTATGAATAACAGACACAGACGTTGACGATGAATTACAAACTTCTGCTTTAATAGAAATGTGGAATGTTAATAACACTGTATGCCAAAATAGCTAACATTTATAGTGATCATTTTTATTTCCCTGAAACACCAAATAAACCAAGTTCAGGGCTTCCGTACAATCGCGATCGTACAGAATGACCGTTTACTCTAATTGCTAGCTCCTAACAGGATGAAACTATGAGGAATGATTGGATTCGAGGGATTTTATTTAAATAAAATACATACAAGCTTTCATTGTTGCTCGTGTGCCCATGTTTACTGTAACGTTAGATTAGCGCGTAACGTCCTGGCAGATCGCCAGGTACTCACAAATGTAACATATAAAAAAATTCGATGCTCGATTTCTAACCTTACGATGTTGTGCAACAAAATGCACTTGTTTATGGATTATTATTCGTAATATGCCAACGTGATGGATTGAAATGGAGAAGTGCACTGGAGTGATGGAAACGACGTGCGCGCTGTTCAACGGCAGCGCTAACGTTAAATAGTTTTAAAATGAACCCCTTCAGCCATTCATCGGTGTAAAACGTGATTTTCCATACTTTATGAGCAACACCCTAGTTCAAACGTACCAATACGTGATGTGGATATTAGGCCACAAAAGGTCACTTAAAATAATCTACAAAAATATTGGCAAACAGTTAATGTTACATGAACGAATTAGCATCTTTATTTTTCAAGAGCACCAGCTAACTTATCACCAATCCATCTTAAATAGCAGACCTTAACTAATATTTTTCGATTGACGCCTATATTAGACAAAGTAGACAATTTTAACAACAGTTTTCTTTCATATATAAATTAAATAATATTCCTTACCTTTGTGAAATGAACTGAAAAAGAGTGGTGATCAGCTTTGCCTCCAGGTTGTCAGCGGGAAACTCCAGCGCATGCGTGCCTCGTGCTCACGAGCTGATTTAAACCGCGCCTTGTAACAGGAAATGCTTGTAAATTGAAAACAGCTCATTTCCATCATGTTGGATTCATTCAATATTCTCTCTATTTGGAATCATTAAAAAATAATAGCTAAATCCCTAACAACAGAATTGACTAGATTTTATTCTAATCATTTTTTATTAATTTTAATTAAAAAAATATTGAAAACAACTAAAATTAATTTTGTTAAATAAAGTTTACACATTAAATTTAATGAAATCTACAAACCAACAGAATGACTTACGCTCCTGGTGTGACAAAATGTTAGCCTATACATAATACTTTTAAAGCTCTTTTTTAAATCTTGGCTTACATACATTTTTACATGTGCCATGTCATGCCATAGCATCATTAAATTAGCATCTAACAACGGACAAAAGTTTTTTTTTTCTCTAACCTATGGTTCTGTAACCATAAAGGCTTCTGTGTAGTTTGCCCCCTGACTAAGCATTTAAAGAATTTAGGGGAAGCATTTAAATAATCCTGTGAATGCACTTAAAGAATGCAGAATCAAATCATTAATCGAATTGAATCGAATTTAATTGTGAATCGAATCGAATCATTCTAAATTTGCAAAAATCGTTCTTGAATTGAATCAAAAACCTATGAATCGTGAATCGAATCGCTGTCTACCCAAAGATTCACAGCCCTAATTAAAACTAAAAGAAATTAAGAGATTTCTATCAGCAGCCTGCATGCTAAGTGAGCTATACTACTGACCTTTGCAATTGCTCAAATACCAGTGGTAGAAAAAAATATTGTGTTCATAATTGGTCTTGAAAGGCCTTTACAGTTGTTACAGTAACGGTGTACATGTACTGTTATAATTTACGCATGAAACGAGGTCAGGGATACCATATTACACACTACACACATCATTGTGTGTAATAATATACACATTGGCTTCAAAACAGCTAGTACAGAGAGTAGTGTAGAGGATTCATTAAAACCAGAAGCAAAGATAAGGAGAGAGAGAGATTTCATGATCAGACTACATGCTGCGCCAATCATTCTGTGACTTCATCTAATTGCGTCCAACATCAAAGTACAGGAAAGACCAGACCAGCATCCTAGGATGTTCAGATCTGTCAAAGCTTTGATAATAACAAATATAACTCAGTAAAGAGTAAAGCTTAATCAACAGCATTTGTGCACCATATATATATATATATATATATATATATACACACACAAACTACCTGTCAAAAGTTTGGGATCAGAACGATTTTTAATGTTTTTTTTACAGGAGTTTCTTATGCTCATCAAGGCTGCATTTATTTTATCAAAAATACAGGAAAAAATGTAATATTGTGAAATATTATTATGATGTAAAATAACGTTTTTCTATTTTAATATACATTAAAATGTAATTTATTCCTGTGATGCAAAGCTGAATTTTCAGCATCATTACTCCAGTCTTCAGTGTCACATGATCCTTCAGAAATCAATCTAATATGCTGATTTATTATCAGCGCTGGAAACTGTTGAGCTGCTTACTATTTTTTTGGAACCTGTGATACTTTTTCAGGATTCTTTGATGAATCTCATGTGACACTTTATATACTGGAGTAATGGCTGACGGAAATTCAACTTTGCATCACAGAAATAAATTATATTTTACAGGATATTAAAATAGAAAACATTATTTTATATTGTAATAACATTTTGCAAGATTACTGTTTTTTTTCTGTATTTTTGATCAAATAAATGCAGCCTTGATAAGCATAAGAGACTTCTTTAAGGGGAGACACTGCAGGCAAAAACACTGTGTTTTCATGCACCTGTCAAGTTTGAGATTTTGGACTTTTTGGTTTTTCATAAAGTGTTTTTTCAGACTGTTGGAAAGAAAACATCCAAAAGACACTGTTATGTGTTTCTTTTATAGCACTTTATCTATTTGTGTCAATAGATTTCAATTACAATACATATTTTAAAAGGCCGTTTTCTTAAAATGAGTTTTTTTCTCCTACACTGAGCCATAAATCTCCACTTCAGTAGCACTTACACACACCAAACTTTACATTTTTATTCCTGTCTATATTCTGAAGGTTTTTACAGAGGGATTTGTTCATATGTCATTTGCTTGATTATATACAACAATTTATTCCCCCCAAAAATGATGAAAATATAGTGTTTTCTATCCGTTCTAAGCATTTTCTGAATTATGGAGTGACAAAAATGAGATACCCAAAATTCCCTATGTAAAAACTTTTGACTCTAATATGTCAAAAAATTTAAATAAGAATTTTGAAACTGACATCATCCAGTGTTTAGATTTTTGTTCTAGAAATGTATGCAAATTAGCGCATATTTCATTAAATAATCACTCATTTGCATATTTAAACCTAACGTTTTAGAAAATTGTAATACAAAAAATGTTTGCAATTATCAATGTAATCAATCAGCTGGGTAAGGCGATAACTATTAGTTATTTTTTTTACCATATTCACCTGCAGTGTCTCGCCTTACATACAGTACGCACACACATACAGGTGCATCTCGATAAATTAGAATGTCGTGGAAAAGTTCATTTATTTCAGTAATTCAACTCAAATTGTGAAACTCGTGTATTAAATAAATTCAATGCACACAGACTGAAGTAGTTTAAGTCTTTGGCCACGACATTCTAATTTATTGAGATGCACCTGTATTATGTAATCCCAAACTTTTGACCGGTAGTGTGTGTATATGCAGTGGTGTGAAAAAGTGTTGGCCCCCTTCCTGATTTCTTATTTTTTTGCATGTATATATATATATATGGGTTACAGTGAGACAATTACAATTAAAGTGAATAGGGCCTGAAATCTGTAACACTAAATTACTCAAGAAAAAGGGGGTACAAGTCAAAATTATTTTTGTGGTAATCAACATTATTCCACAAATGCTGTGGATTGAGCTAAACTTAAACAGCTCATCAAACAATGCACAAGTTTAAAAAAGTTTTTTATGAAATTGAGATTAACATTTCTGTTTTTAAATCATCCAAAAACTCACCACATTCAATTCCGTTGCAAGTGCCTCATTATGACCTCGATTTTTGCTTTTGAAAAATGGGGCACAAATCGAACATTTTTTTGTTGTAATCAACATTATGCCACAAATGCTGTGGATCGAGTTTAACCTGGAATATATCTTTAAGTAATTATTTAATTCTCATTTCATTAAATGTGCCATATAGTACCGGATATGTAATGACACAAAAATTTGGCTGCAGAAAAACTGACTTTTAAAGTCGTCACCACAGTCGGGGGTGAGGTGAAACAGATGCTCATCCCTGCAGGAGAGAATACTAAGACTAGGAATCTTAGGGGGGGAATAACATGGCAATATCCCCCTTCATTCACATTAGTTTGCTCAAAAAAAGACAATAAAAACAAACATTGAATGTTTTTTTAATACCAAAGGGAAAAATTAGCTTGTATTTTGGTCTTTAAACATGTGATCAACACTGGTCGCTTTCCAGAATGTCTGGATGTTCTTCCCAGAACTGATCTCCAATGATATCACAGGAATGACTTGTAACCTTTTTTCTGGTCCGTGTTACAGTAATTTCTGTCTGTACTTCATCTGGCCGCTTGATCTGTTTAGTTGTGGTTTCATTCACCTGAAGGAAAGAATTTAAGAATTAAAAATTTCATTAAAGATAATAAAAAATAAATGTTTTGCAGCTGCAGCTTACCTTTTCCCATATTAAAGTTGTGCCTTTTTTGTGCAGTGGGGATTCATTATTGTAATTGATACTGAACTCAGAAAACAAGATCTCATTCTTATCCGCTGCTTGTGTTCCCTGTAATTTAATTGATGTAAATTACACTACAGTTATATAATGTGAACAAACAAAATAACTGTACTGGAATTAGGTGTGTTTAATTAAAACTATATGGAAAAATAAAATCCAATTAAGCCAAAATTAAACATTCACAAATTATATTGGTAATTAAATACTCATTATGTTTCTGGTTAAAACTGTTTATTGGATAATATTCCTAAAATATAGAAAAAACCCTAGTCAGCTTTTAAATAGTCATGTTTATATTGTTTGGGATGACAACCTTCTTTGTACATTAGTGACAAGCATTCTATAAAACATTCTACAAGCATTCTAAAGAAAACAACTCAGAACAAACATAAAAATACTCAGTTAAACAAATAATACTTTAACTGATCATACACTGAGTCTCTCCTCAGCTTGCGTTGTGGTCAGTCCACCTTTCTGAACCAGAGTCCAAAACGTAGTGTTGTACAAATTGTTAATGTGACCTGAATAGAAATAACAAATGTTAAAATTAAAAATGTTGAGATTCTGAAACAATTTTAAATCCATTGTTAAATGTTTATATAGTCTGTATAGCTAGACGTTCATTTCTAGGACACCTAGAATGTAAAAAATAATGGATTTCACATTTATATTTTAATGCATAATCAAAATACAATATATTTATGTTATTAACATATAGCATGTGTACATTAATGCTCCATCACAAGCAAACATGATAATATTACCATATTCACAACCACAGGGTTGGCATGAAATTAAGTACAATCATAGTAAATTTCAGAAGTCAAAAATGATTCTACTTCATTCTATTATACTGTTTTATACATGATACAGTCAAACACATTTTATCATTAAATCTACTACAAAATACATTCACTTACAATCTGCCTGTCTCCAGCTTAGATAGTCTCTTAGGTTACGGTTGCTAGGATACAGAACCACCCTGCCATCAAAGCTGGGTGGGTACAGCAGCGGATGCTCCCCAAAATACTCCTTCCAGTAGTAAACAAAGCTAGAGGAAAACTGGGAAGCCACGTGGGTCATCAGTTTACTGTAGAGAGAAAGGAAAACATTTCATGGGTGAGTTTCCAAGACAGCATAACCCTGGACAACCATCTTCCAGCTGTGCTGTTTGGCATCAAGATGGTTTTGAAATACAAGGCAGATTCTGGCAAGTTTATTTACGGCAATGTGTCAGCATACAATTATACCTGGCCCTTCTTTTGAACCAACTGGTTGATCTTTTGAACACAAAGCTGAACTCGTCACTCTGTCCATAGGCAATAGTGATGTCCTCCAGCTCCTCCATGACCGAACGGGCACTGCGGCTCATCAAACCCAGAGCTCGGTTATCACTGGGTTTCATGAAGTTATGCTGCTCAGAAAACCTGGAATCAAAAATATCATTTTGAAAGTAATTTCAGTAATCACTGATTTTCTGCCCTCCACGAAATTGTACAAACATAAGACACAGTGTTAGTTCTGCAAGAGCATGTTGTAACTGTACAGAAACACTTACTTGTGGAAGTTGCGTCCATCTAGCCGAACCACAATGTAACAGTTTCTCAAACATGTGTCGTCGAGCTCAAAGTTTCTCACGTATTCAAATTTGCTTTTGGCCATGACAGATGATGTGCTGAATTTAAGACTTAAGAGTGTCTTGTGCTCTGTAAGTCCTCTAAAATTGACCGATAACAGTCTCAGCATAAGGATATCAGGACAAACACGATTATTTAATACGTTTAACTCAAATCATGCTGTTAGTTCAGAATATTTGTGATGCGTTATAATTATCTGTCATCCAGAAAGCGCATCGTCAGGAATTAAATGTTAATATTAATGTCTCAGGAAGAACTTAAACGAGTGATTATCATAGATCGCGTTGTATTTTTAAATATTTAACATTACAGTGTATGTATGTGGTGTCAAAACTCACATGTGCGTAAGCGGTCATTGTATTGGTACGTCACCTTATACAGTCCCTCGAAACACTTCTGAAAATTATGTTCCGCCACAAAGTGTGCAAGGCATCAGCCGCTTTTGAAGATTTAAAAGCGTAATGATACAAATCGATACATCTGATGCATCTGATACAAATCGAAGATTTTTGTCAGCAATGTTTTTAATAGAACGAGATGATTTGTTGGCAATTTTAAATGAGAGTAAAAAGATCATGCAGAATAATATGCCTAGGTGTGTCCAGTGTGGTTGCTTTTCAGTGTCAGTGATAAACATGCTGCAAAGAAAAGCGAGACAAAGTGAGGCTGGTCAGTCTTACATTTGTTTGACCAAGTATTTTTATTTTATTAGCAAAAAATGTAAAATCAAGGTATAAATGGTCTTCCCACAGCTTGTCATCTGTCATCATGTCAGTTTTTGTTAGATTTTTTAAACATATTTAGAAAAATAAGCTGTAACTCCAAAACTTCACCCCTAAAACATTGCACTCAGAGCAGTTCCTACAGAAATAAAGGAAGAAATTTATGATATGGAAAGAAATATATTAAAGAAAGACAGGACAGTATCATAAAAAAAACCCAACTGACTTGATAGAAAAACAAACACTCTGCACTAGTCACTCAGATGTCATGAAACTGCAATTAGTACTTGCTTTTTAGTACTAGTATTTTGTCTTTTTAAAATGCAGTATGTTCACACATCTACTGTTCATAGGTATACTGATCACATCCTATGGATGAGCATAGCAAGCAACACTCTTAAACAAACATAGATATGAAAAGCGAAGTGATGATTTCATAAGGTCCTCCACCTCAGCAGCGGCCTTCTTTCACAATCAAAATGTCTGCATTAGTGTGCCTAAAAAACAAACACCATTTCAGTGATTCAACATCACAGCATCCATACCACAGCACTTGCTAACTATCAGCAAAATCCATACAGCAATGCTGTTATCCTACACAAACAGAAGCAAATGAATGGACTCACATTCTCTGCACACACAGGGTGCATTCATTGACGTATGTGATGCCATCATTACCACATACGGGAGAGTAGTTGAGAGGGCATGCTTGATTGACACTCAAACCCCCACATGCAGGCTGTCAGATTTAAAACACACACACAATTCACAGTTATGCATCATAGCTCATCTTCTGATAGGTGTTTGTTCTGGGTTTTAGTGTATAAATTACCCTGTGGTAGGATCTTGATTTATCCTCTGCACCTGAAAAAAATGGGTACTGTTGGATTAATCGCATTGCAATAAATCTTTGTTAACTGCAAATGGCACACATCAATAATTAAAATAATAACAGTGTTTTTTTCAATTCCAATGGGAGTGACTTACCCACAGAGAGGATGAGGACCAGACTCATCAAAACCACTGCTGTTCCAGTCATGATGCTCAAATAAAGGAAATCCGGATTTTAAAAGAGAAATCTGTATTTGTAAGTTCAGGCTGAGAGCTTTGACTTAGCAACTGATGACTTCCAGCTCGTTTCTGAGTGTTGTATTGGTGGTGATGAGGAGCAACATATAGTTTGAAAGTGAGGAGGAGGAGGAGAGGTGCTGATATTTTGAAGGCTTTCCACCCCACCTACCCACCGTCCTGCGTCAACAACACTGAGAACAGAGCCTCTCTATTGTCTCTCTCTTTATTAAGGGATAAACATTCCAGTCTGTCTAAAAATTGCTGAGCACAATCCAAAATGCATTGGTCTGTATAATATCCCCCAAAACAGATCTGGCTGGGAGGTGTGTCCCTGTTTATTGGCCCCAAAGTGAAATGAAAAGAAGTCCACAAAACATGGAATGCAGTTGACAGTAATTACGTAATGTAATAATTAACTACATAATTTAGCAGGGAATATGGGTCTTTACATTTTGAAAAAAAAAATTGTAATAAATAATTTTAATTTTTATGAAAAAGTGCAAAGTGGAACTTTTAAAAAATCAAATATGGGACAAACACACAATACAGAAATTCTGACAAATAACCAATAATAAATCAAGTCATTAAAAATAAACAATAAAAGGTATATTTGATTATATTCTACTTGATTTTTTAACTACAGAAGTCTTGCTATTAATGGCCCCCATACAGGCTATATTGTAGCTATTTTAAATAATTAAAGAAAGAAATGCATTTGGAAGGGTGAGTAAATTATGATAGAATTGTTATTTTTGGGTGGACTATACCTTTAATAACTCGAATTTCAGGCACTCGAAGTTCACAGTAGTACTGTTTTACTGTATTTTTGATCAAACAAATGCAGTTGTGGTAAGATAATTATTTCAAAAACATTTCAAGCATTTTATTTTTCAGGGCCAACTTCCCCCTCAGATTTTCGAGCCACTTGGATTTTGAATGCAGCTTCCAAAAGACAAAAATAGCCTAATCATATTTTTTATAATTGATACAATCACACGGGTGTGATGTAAAATTCACATTAAAAAAATGTGCTGCTAAATTCAAATCTGCTTTCGCTGGCTGGCGCTGAGCTAGAGACAGGCCCGTTTTACAGCGCTGCACATTATAACCAATCACACACGAGTCAGTTGAGTTTATGAATGCAACGGCCAATCAGAGGCGTTCAGATGAGTCATCGATGAAACGCTGGTGTTTTGTTCACTGCGCGAGTCGCTGACTGAATTCTGCTCTTTGGCGAATTAATTCTCTCATCAGAAACAACAAAGTGCAGATGTGCCAACGATGTAAGTAAGATATGCATTTCACAGTCTAAACAGCTTCAGTGATTATAATGTGAGTTTTTGAGAGTGAACTCTGGCTAGACTGAAATCAGTGATAATGTTCTTTGATAATGTAAATGTTCTTTGCTCTCTTTCTGTACAACGAAAGTGTTATAATTAGTAACTTACAATGTTTTTTTTTTAATTAAATTCACGTTAAATACAAAGTCAATCGTAGCCTATTAAAAATATGAATACCTAGTGCCCTCTCAAAAATAATAAGTGCATGAGGCCCCTGCCTATAGCCTATCTAATCCTTATAACTGTAATTTGTTTTATATTATCAATGTAATGCGTTAAAAAGGCTGATAATTAGTAAAAAAAAAAAAAAAGAAAAAGAAAACATCCCACTAAAAAAAAAAACATTGCTCAAGAGCTCATTGTTTTCTGCAGCGAACTTGAACGGCACTTTTCGGCTTCCGTACTGACTCTGAGTGTTCTTCTTTCTTTCAGAACGGCACAGGTACAGTTCAGATTCACGTTGAGTAAAATGATACAAATACGAGGTATTTTCCGGAACGCGTCACGTATCTTAGAACACTGTCTGTCTGTCTGTCTGTAAAAAGCCGACCTACGGTGAGTTTAATCATCAGCAACTAGTTTTACACAATGGGAAATAGCTCACTTTCATCAAAGTAAGTTTTCTTTACAGAACAATCTGATGATACTGAACCTGTGTGACATTTTAATGGCACCGAATTAAAAGACAAACGCTAGTCTATTGGACTTTTACATTTTTGTTAAGACCTTGGCAGTGTCAGGAGCAGGGCCGCATTAAGACCGCACTGGGCCCCGGGGCTATGACCGGGGCAGGGCCCCCCATCACAATAATTATATATATATATATATATAGGGTACAACGGGGCTAAAAGCCCACCTTAAGAAAAAATGTGCCATCTCAACTAAATAACAGCGCTAATACGTGGGGGGCGTGGTGGCTTTGGCGATCGACGCTCCAGTCAGTCTACTCCACAGCCAATCACGGGCCCCCTCCTTGCTCGGGCCCCGGGGCTTCAGCCCCGCCTAGCCCAATGGTTAAAACGGCCCTGGTCAGGAGTTACAAAAGCATTAAATCATTACAAAATAGTTTAATAACTCAAATAGACACAAATAATGTGTTTCATTAATGTTGGAGGCCCATATTCTTCATGCATATACAGTATATTGATTATATAGTGAGGTCCAAATGTCAGACTACTGGTAAAATGCTTATATTTTGCATTCTACTACAAGAATAAACTACACATTAAGCATTAGTTTCTGTTAAATTTTTAAACGTCTTAATATGACTCCTTTTTGTTTGCTCTAATAACAGCAGCACTTTAGTTTCATGAACTCCAAAAGTTTGTGTAAAACTTGATGACCGTGTTCAGCATCATGATTTGAGAAAGATGATCTGACCTTTTCGTGCAAAGGAGTTCACGTGGTTTTGCCTATTTGATGACTTATTTAGTGACTTTGAAAAAGTGCCAAAACTTAATGTCTTTCTTCTTACATTTCCATCTTTAAAGGTCCAAAAGAAAATGCATTCCCAATGCTGTCTGAGACTTTTTGACCCTTCTATATTTATACCAAATGTGTCTAGCTGTTCAGTTTTTAACATGTCCTTGCACAGAGTTAAGTAGGAGTTGTCTTGCTTTAAATGAAATCCTGTGTATCATATATGGATTTGGGACATAATTTGTATAGACCTTTGTCCTGCAGTGGGAATTGACTGGTTTGAGCCTGAACGTAAACATTTGTACAGTTTATCTGTAACATCAAATGTGAGTTTCAAGGTTTTTAAAATGTACTCAAGGTTTTAGATGGGGGGCTGTGCCTTAAAAACCTTAGGAAATTGAAATAAAAAAGAAACCGAAGCAGAGCGCTGCCATTTCTATAATGAGTGAGTTTTATAAAATCTCATAGTTCATATAGATTCAGACAAATGTAAAACTTGTATCTCAGTTGAACAGTTCCAATAATGACTACATGGTGTCACTAGCAGTTTGTTTTACATTTCCTGTGCAGCCCAAGGCATCGATCTCCACCAGACCTCAGCAGCAGCGAGTTGGTCCTCACTGCAGAACACAAGATCCAGGGGGAGAGGTTGGATCCAGATCCAACTCCTCCCACCTTACATATACCTAAACCTACCTGTCTCCACCCCCTGATCCCTAAACCCACCCATCTCCACCCCCTAGATGTGGATCCAACCCCGCCTCCTGGATCTTTGTTCTGCAGTGAGGGGCTACTGGCAGCTACAGCAGCACGGAACCTTCTATGAGTTCCGCACCTATTACATCCAGCCGCATCTCAACGCTGTCTTCCTCAGACTGACCAATGAGGAGATCCACCTGTGGACAGCCCACTCAGAGCTCATCGGATACTGGAGTGTGGAATATGGGGGTCTCAATCAGGTTCCCTTTCGATACTTCACTTGTACTGCATCTTGCTTAAGACGCATATGGGAAAAAAGCCTTTTTTCTCCTGAACTGAAGCCTTTTCATTCACGCAGTGAAACTGCACGGCCATTGGTTCGTGCAGTGCTTAAAAAATGAACCAATGGCTCGGCAGCAGAGCTGCACGAGCTTATGGCGACGAAGCCCGCCAAAGCCCGCCAGAATGGGCGGGGCATCTGGCTATATAAGCAGGCGCTCGCCACAGGATTCTCAGATTTCTTCTCCTTCAGCAAAGACTCTACGTCCTCAAGCTGATCCGAAACCGCTCGCCGTTGACACGCCTTCGCAGCTGGAATCGGTAGCTCTCAGCACAGCTGACCTGCTTCTCTGCCGCTCCAGCGACGCAGCAGTTCCGGTCTGGTTCCCCTGCCGCCATCCGGCGATTTCTAAAAGAGCTTCTAAAAGAGCAAATTGGCGTTGTTGCAAATGCCATGCCGTTACTGCGGTTCGTGCGGGTCTCCCCTGCACGCCGATGACGGCCACACGGAGTGCATTTCCTGCTTGAGGAAATCCCATGCGGAAGCTGTGCTCACGGGAGCTATTTGCTCCCATTGCGAGAGCTTCAGTCTCGCCTCTCTCCGCTCACGGATCGCTTTCTTTTCAGAGAGCGACTCCGCCCCCCGCGCCCTCCCGTTTTCTTCCTCCCAGGGACCTGTGAGGAAAAAACAGCGGGGCAAAGGGGTCGAGCGATCGGCTACGAGCGAGCTCACGCCGGCCCAGATCCCGCGTGCCTCGCTCTCGCCGCAGAGAGAGTATTCCCCCGTCCTTTTCTCACGGTCTGATCAGCGTCCCTTTGCTGGTGCGAGCGACCTGATCTCATTCGGGGGAAGTGGAGACGAGCTGCTCGATGACAGCATGTAAAGACGGGATGGATGCCGAGCTTCTCCGTATCCTCTCCAAAGTGGTTCCTCTTCCAGTCTGGCCTGGACCCCGCTACCCTCAGGGATCTGAGGAGCGTGACTGACCTGGCTCTACGCGCCACCAAGACCACCGCCCAGGCGATCGGGAGATCGATGGCCAGCCTTGTGGTGCTCGAGCGCCATTTATGGTTGATGCTGACGGAGATTAAGGACGCGGATAAGATCCCCTTCCTCGATGCTCCAGTTTCTCCCAAAGGTCTTTTCGGCCCGGCGGTCGAATGATTCGCTGAACGCTTCACGGAGGCACAGAAATCGTCCCAGGCTATGCAACATTTCCTGCCTAAGCGCTCCAGCTCCGCTGCTGCCTCAGCTCGCCCTAAATCTGCGCCGACTCAGCAGCCTGCGAAACCAGCACCTGCCGTCCCCGCTGTTCAGCCCGCTAAAGCACAGCAGACGCGGGGACGCTCACGCTCGGTCAAACGCTACCCTCTTCCTAAGCGCCAGGGACCCCGACCCAAGATAACGCCCAAGCATTCAACCGCTGTGATAGCGGAAAAAATAAAAAAACACAAACATTTTCAAAAAGAGAGG